ACAATCGAAGTGTCTGGCGTTTTCTGGATGTCTTCAGTGACTTCCTCGCTGACTTCGACCATCACCCAGTTTTCGACTCCAGTGTCCTTCTCTCCTGTTGGGGCATCGCTTTGATCAGTTTCCACCATGTTGACCTCTCCAATGCATGCAGCCTCGGAGTAGTTGGTGTCTGCGACGTCCAAAGGATCTTCGTCCACTTTCATCTTCACCTTATCAGCAAACTTTAGTCTGCCATCTTTGATCGCGTTTTGAATCAAGTCCCTGAAAAGAAAACATTGTGAGGTCTTGTGGCCTAGGAAACTATGATATTTGCAAAATCCCCTTTTCTTCCTCTGATCCAAGGGAGGTATTTTGACATTTGATGGCACAATTAGTTGGCCATCCTTGACAAGCAAGTCAAAAATTTCGTCACACTTAGTGACGTCGAAGGTGTAAACCTTCTTTGGAAACTTGTCACTTTTCTCATTTTCAACAATATCTTTCCCTTTCGTGGGAACTAACATTTTGCAGGAGTAAGGTGGGGCCTGTTTTAATTCAGCGAGGTCGATTTCGACCTCTTCGAATTCGAATTCAGGATATTCTTCTACTTCCTCAGTCCCAACATAGGAAACCCTTTCTTTCTTACTATTCTTAAAGACTCTGGCTTTTTCAGCTTTTAGTCTTTCGACCTGTCGAACCCTATCGGCTAATTGAGCCATATCCCTCAAATACTGAGTATCTAATTTCTTTCGAATAGAATAATCCAAACCCCCAGCGGCCATTTCGACTAACTCATGTTCAGGCACTACTGTGTAACATCTGGATTTTAACAGCCTAAATCTATTCAAATAATCATCTATGGGTTCAGTGAATTTTCTCTTAACACTGGCCAATTCCTTCAAACTTATTTTCGATTGTCCCATGTAAAATTGTTCATGGAATAATCTTTCTAAAAGGGCCCAAGTGTCAATAGATCCGGGAGGCAACGTGGTAAACCAAGTGAAGGCGTTTTTTGTCAAGGAACTTGGGAAGTATTTGATCCTGAGATCTTCATTATTGGCTATGTCTCCCGCTTCGGTTAAATATCTCGCTATGTGTTCGACTGTTGACTCGTTGGTATCCCCAGCGAACTTTGTAAATTTAGGGACTTTGTATCCCCTTGGTAAATCAGTATGCATTATACAATCCAATATAGGAGAAGCGTAATTTGGCCTCCTCATTCCCGTATTGAGGCCATTCTGGGCCATGATCCTCTCTATCATGGTGGTTAGGTTATTTTCTGCCAAGGTGTTATCGTTTCGAATCCTATGAACGACGGCATCGGCATCTTGATTTCGACCAACAAAAACAACTCCCCTGGGTTGTTCTTCTCGAAGTTCTGGGGCTTCTGGCCTTTCGATCCTTGCCCCTGGTTCCATAACTTCCCTTTGTGGGCCCTGAATTACTGGGGCTTCTAACCTTGGTGCTCTGACCCCTAAGTTAGCTTCTTCTCTGGGTAGTCTCTGAATTGGGTCGTTAGCAATTCGTTCTATAACAGGCATGTTTGTTCGAAATCCCGCCTGGTTCTGCCTACGCCTTTCTGTGGGAGCAAAGAAATCTGCTATTCGACTCATATTGTCAGCGTTTTCCCTGTTCGTCACAGTCACATTCTGAACTATTGGGGCAAATATTTCCTGCATGGTTTGCGCTAACACCCCTATCATATTGTGGTTGCTGTCATCCATCAATTGCCTAAAAGCCAACTGGTTATCTGTGGTTAGGACAGGCAACGTGCTATAACCCACTGACCCTTGGTTATTTGTCATAAATTGGTTCGCCCCAGACCCAGATCCTAGTTGTGGGGATGAATTCGAAGTGGAATTGTGTAAACCTGCCATAAAAGATGTTGGCATTCCGTAAGAAGAACTTCTAATTCTATTCCCATCGAAGCCGGGTGGTCTAGTTAATGGTGTGGCTAAATGGGATTGTGTTCCTGGTGGTGGAACGAATCCCCCAGGGTAGCCCATAGTTCCAGTATTTCCTAAGATCGAACTGTTAGTTGATATGCCACTTACTCCAGTGGTGGCTACGTTACTGGTTGAAGATGCAACAGACTGTGCATTCGAAGGGATTACGTTAGATGTTCCGCTCGAAATGGACGCGTTAGTGCCTGTTGCATGTGGGTCACCTTGGTTTCCTTGTTGATTGTCTGAATTAGACATTTTGTCCAAACGTTTTCTTCTGGATAAAGGTTGGTTGCTGTTGGTTATCTTACCACTTCTCAGGTTCATAAAACAGCAAATTTCTTATGGTTCCTACGTTTTTGGGATGGCTATGTCTCGACAATCCTTAATTCTGATATCCAACTATTGGTCCCACCAGGTGTGCCAATTTGTTTCCAGTGATTTCTGGTAAACAACCGCTAGTCTTCCAAACTATCGAATAATCTTTATTAACGCTACTCAATCTCTCTGGTGACTCACAGGATCGACTAGATTGATCCTAGGACTCCTTGGATATTAAAGTTACTCTCACAATCGAACAATTATTCATGGTTGCTATTGTACAAGTGTTTGGTTTATTTCGATCCCTCTCTCTAAGAGTTTAAAAATGTGGTCAAATTGTACATGAAAACTAAGTTATACGAATAAATGCTAATTGTAATGCTGATTGAAGAGACATATAAAACTGTATGAAAAATGAAGTAAATGGTTTCGATTTGCAAAACATTTAACATAAAAGGTTTCTGGAATGTAGAAGTTTAAAGTGTGAAGAAAGCGTTTAATGCAATTTTAAGTAAAAGGATGCGTTTGAAAAACAATACTTGGAAGTAAAGGTATTGAAAGCGTAACAGTTCTCTGAAATATAAAGTGCTCGAAATATAAAGAAAGCAATAAAACGTAAAACTTTGAGGAAAAGACTTTGAAATGAAAAGACAGTAAATAAAGAAACTTGTAAATGTTATTCGATAAAAAGAAAAGAGGAAAGTACTGGAAATGGTAAAAAGGCTTTCATTAAGTTAGAAATACATGGTGCTATCATACATACATCTCTCTTGCATTCGTTTCCCTTGCCATGTGGTAGTTTGAATGTTATTGAGTATTTTGTATAACAGATATGACACACTGAAATCCTAATACTAAGACTTCTATTTATACTAATTCGACCCTAACGGTCTCGCTATAGGATCATGCCACGTTTCGAACATGCAAGACAATGTTTATTTTATCTTTCCACGTGTCCCCAAATGCTCCAACACATAACTTTCAAACTTTGAAAGTCCCGCTTCCATTTAAATTTTAAATGCTTTAGTGTTCTTCCGTTTCGAACGCTCTTCCCAAACCTAGCCTCGCTGTTGTTTCGAGACCCCTTTGGATATTTTCCCATGATCACCGTTCGAAGCTTCAAGCTTTGACACACTCATTCGAAACACTGCTTCTGCAACTTCGAAACATGGTGTTCAATTCCATTTCGATCAGAACTTTTAACTCTTTTGAATTCTAGATAACATTATCAAAATCTTCAGCCAACAATACCTTACTATCATTATCAACGTTGTCCCACCAGAAACACTTCAGAAAATAGTCGTCAACAACTATGAAAAGTCAAAAAAACAGTTAAAAATCACATTGCCCACACGTCATTAAGAGCCTCCTCTCAAGAAGATTGATATTTTGACAGTGATTGCTCCCGATGCATTACTAGAGAGAAGAATTTCTTGAAAGATTTAAAACCCTATTCTAATTGCTACGTTACTTTTGGTGATAGTGCTAAAAGAAAATCATTGAAAAAGGGAAGTTGGATTATCTAGACCTTTCTAGCCTAGATAATATCCTCTAATGGTCTCATTGCAAATCTCCTCAGCATCAGCTAACTCTTGGATCAAGAAATGTGTACATTTCAATCGTTATGAATGTATTATCACTAACAAATATCTAAAACAAATAATGAAGGACACTAGATCATTAGAAATTTTTATGTGTGGTATTCACAATCAAAAGATTGGCCTCAAGTTTGTATGATCTCTAAAGAAGATGAAACCAATGGCATAAAAAATTTAAGTCGTCTAAATTTCAAAAGTATGAGAAAGATTGTCACTGAAAATATCATCATTAGTCTTTCTGATAAAAGAAAAAATTTGTGGTCTTACTACCTCGTGAGTCCTTAAACTACTACACAAGAATCTCATAGAGTCCATGCAAGTGAAAAACGTTATGACTTCTCAAAGTACACTTAAGTTAATTATTATTTTTAATTTTTTTTTAAAAACTATTATTTGTTTGGCTAGTCCCAATTAAATTCTCTCACATGGTCATTAGATCTAGAAGAAATTTGGGGTCATAGACTGATAACTATCAAACCACAATGCTAGCGATTTCAATTAAAGTCTCGTAAAAAGAACTAACTATGCTCTAATTTATCGAGAGTAAACCCTAGCTTTAAATAATCTCAACCAAAAGAAAGATAGAACCATAGTTGAAAAACTAACATTGATTCAACTAATTACAAACTAAGCTTTGTTGTAATTCATCGAATCCCAATCGAAGATAAAACCAATGTATCAAAAGATAGAACCAATGTATTAAAACAAACTAAAGTTTGTTCGACGAACGGCATTTGATGTCAATGGTAGTAAAACAAACTAGTCGTTGTTTGACTGATCTCAATTGAAGTTACACAATAGTTCACCAGATTTAAAAGAAAGTTGGAACCATTTGTCTATTAACTTTCAAACCACGATTCACAATTGAAGCCTCACTTCAATTCATTAGATTGAGAAGAAATGCAGAGAAAGCCTCGCTTTAGTTCAATAGATTGAGAAGAAATGTAGATCCATTATCGTGATATGATTAACCATATTCCAACTGATTAAGAGAGAAACCTAGATTTCATCTCAATTATAAGAAATATGATTGTTGATTAACCATTCCAATTGATTAAGAGAGAACCCTAGATTTAGTTCATCTCAATTATAAGAAATATAGGATCAAGTTCCAAAAAATAAATAGGCATTTGGTAAGACAAGAAACAACTGTTTTTTGATGAGAAAGAATCATATGGCCCAAGCAGTAAAACATGTTACTAAGATCAACTTTGAAGCTGACGTCTGCATGGCCTACTTGCTTTACTTGTCAACACATTTACAGTCAAATCTCAACCAAGAATTCAATTTGGAGAATTTTTTTGGATTTAAACCAATCAATTCCGATTCTCATAATGAACCGACTAATTTAATTTTGTGGTTCAGTGTGACGACTCCCTGGCCAGGCCTTAACTTTAACAAACTTGTCAGCGAACTATGCCAATATTTCATGTGGCATTCACATATTTATTCTGACTAGGAATTCGCACATGCATTAATCTTCTTATTTAACATACAAAATTTGCACCACTAATCTGCACAAAAGCATAAAACTCACAACAAAAGCACTTTTGGTCGATATTGAGGCAATGATATACAGAGATTAGACAAACACATTCCATCCTTTCGGACATTTTGGCACCTTCATTGACATTCCATGTCAATTTGTAGACAAACTTGTTAACAGTATATCGATTATTCTTCAACTTTCAACAAAGCCACTAATCATCAATATTCTATTCATTTGTCTAATCTAATCATCTATTTAGTAAAAATGATGTTTTATTGTTTTTATTTCTTGTTTTTGTTAATAATTATCAAAATATCACTTTTTATTTTATTTCTTATCCTCAAATATTTGTAAAGAAAACAATGAAAACATCAAATATGTTGTCTTCGTCATTTCCTTCATAAATATTAGAAGAAATAAAATAAAAACAATGATATTTTTGTATTAATTAACAAGAACTGAAAAGAAAACAGAAAATATTCTGTTAAACGCGACCGTTCCTTCTAACTTTTCTGGCTTTAGGCAGTAAGTTTCTTCTTACACTTGTTCTGCACTAGGTTAAGTAGAAAATCCGTAAATACAGGTTCGTAGTTTGGCATTTTTCCAAACCCTGCAGTAGGTGGAACCGTAAAACAAAAAGTTAAAAAAACATATAAATATTTGATTTATGTCAGAAACCATGGAATGCAGATGAGTTATACTTGCCTGGAAAATAGTTGATGTCAATGACATAAAACACATCCTTGGTCCCGTATTCCCGAATCATATCTACGTTGAACATACGAAGTCCCTATAAATGGTGTTACAGTTCAGTATTTAGTACATCATCTAGGAATGAAAAACAGTTGTGAAAGAAAGTGGAGTAAATAAATGTGTTACCAATCTGTGTCGAAGCTCCTTTGCAAGCTTTTCCAACAAAGATCTTGGTGGGTGTTCTGTAAAAAAAAGTGTCAGTAAGTTGAAATGTTGCATTTTACGGAGGTGGTGGGAGAGGGGAAATTTATGGAATCTCACCAGCAATACTAGGATCTAGATCAGCATTGTCTGCAGAAGCTGCTGCACACGAAACTCTTGGGAAACGGTATACACCTGCAACTTTTGATAGCTCGCGTTTACTGATATTAGGAAGGGAGAAACGCCTCACAACCTTTATGCTTTCCCCAACAATATAGATCTTAAAGAGAAGACCGCCTTCATGTCCCAAATAAAAAGTAAGAAAATCGAGATTTTAGATAGACAAAAGGTTGAGTTAACATACAGAATGATAGCGGACTAAGAACCAGATCACGCACCATGATTCACAAACTCTTGTAGAACAAGAGGAGGTTCGAGCTCTGAAAGAGAGAACTCGTCATAAGCAAGAAATAATTCATGTGACTTTGCAGTGCCATCCACAACTAGAGGTTTCGCAACTGAAAATTCGAAAGTTAAGGAAAAGAAAACACTTCAATACACATAAAAGAGATGACAGTATATTTGAAACAGCCCAATCAGGATAATCAGAACAACCGTGAAAATGCGTAAGTCAAATGACTAAATAGTTAAAACAATCTCTGGCTATTAAAACAATATGAAAACAGAATATCCAATGGATACAAACAATATTCTTTTCAGTCCATTGAAATATTTTTGAGACAGCGTTGTCAATAGCATATCACAAAACAGAAGTTTGTTCAAATTTCATTGCACAATAGTGTGGTAGTGCCGTTATTTAACAACATTTTGTACTAAATATTCCGCTACTATACAGTGTTCATTACACAATAGTCACGATGCAATAGCGATTTGTTCAAATTCCGCTACTACAGTACTGCTATCACTGCTATTTAACAACATTGTTTTGAGCTATAGTCATTCAGAACTCATCGATGTTTGGTTTATTTAATAGGCGCCAATATTAGTAGCGGATATCGGAAGTAATAACCAGATATATTCTAGAAACAAAGACGCGGGACACATAAAAAAAATACATACCTAAAGGCAACTTCAACCCAGCTTTGGTGACTTCATAAGGGATAGTAGAAGACTCTTTGTCTTTTGTGATAACTAGCTGACTTGGGATGCCAACCTTGCCTAAAAAACAGCAGTATTTAATACATAATCGAGCAAGAAACCCAATATAAGAGCACGATACTAATGATTGTAAATTTATAGTACTTTTTATTACAGATTATGCACAACCCCAAGACTTTCAGATGGAGATAAGTTACCGTTGCTCTCAGATAAGTTTAGATCCACCACATCTTGAAGCATGGATTGGCGATTGTGTAAGTGTTGAATAGCATCAGGGGGGTCAAGAACAATTACATCGGGATGTTTTTGCCTGAAATCCTTCAATATTGGAAAAGGGGAAAAAGGCCAATCAGCATCGTCAAAATACAAACTTTATGGAGAATTTAGAAACCATGAAGCAATCACTTATTAGTAAATTACATATTTTAGGTGAGCAATGGACATTTAGCAGAAACGTTAAATAATTAAACCAACATGGCAATTTATCGTCTCATGGAACTATCATCAAGCAAACCTATTAAAACAACAACAACAACCAAGTCTTATCTCACTAAGTGGGATCAGCTAGATGGATCAACTTTCGCAATAATTTTCTATCCAGGAAGCAGAATAAAATAAAAAATAGAACTTCATAATAAATCAAATTTCTCAAGAGGTTTACCAGTTTACCTGTGTACTTAATGTATTTTAATAAACTATCTTTCAGAAACTTTCTCATCCGTCTGATGCAACTATCATTATGTATAAAATTACCAAACACGGTTGCATTTGGTACATAAAATTATTAGCTTTTAGTTCTAACCTATAAGCTTAAAAAAACATTTTCAACTAAGCAAGAAATGGACTTAAAGACAGACATAATATTACGTTCTTTCCAATGCCTAACCAAACTATTTAGATTAACCACAAAAGTAAATCCTCACTTGATTGAATATTGGGGGACCGATTTCAACCATCCGATCATGATTCATGGTGAGGAGAGCAAGAACTCTGCAAATTATGCGAGACAATAATAAGTTTTGGAGTATCCAGAAGATGTGGTTGTCCAGCCAATCACCTTCATGTCCTACTCAACTCCCAAACTAACGATACTAACGATTTCATGCAATGCCATGAACATTATAAAACGAAAAATAGAAATCAAAACAAGTCAAGATTACATCTACAATGTAAAAGTGAGTTGAAGAGTGTCGAGTAAACAAACCTCGATAATTTCACGCCATTCCTCTCCCGACAACTGAAAAGAACAAATAACCAATCAGATATTAGTTTACCCCTGAGCTTGAAATTCAGTAAAAAACACAAATGAAAACATTCAAATAAATAAGTAAAACACCTACAAAAAACTTCAATCGTATAAATATGATAAAATTCTGAAAGAATCGTAACGCAAAATTCACAAACCTTATGCAAGACAATATCAAATGGACCTTGTTCTTGCAGTGGCTTGTTCACATCAATAGCAACAAAGTATATGCCCTTGCTCCTGCATTACATATAATTTTTAGTCATAGTAATCAAGATTTGTTCATCTGATTCTCAAAAGAAACTCAAAGTTACCATAATTTAATTTAATTTTTTTTTTTTTGAAGTTTTATCAGGTGAAGCCTGAGCAAAAATCAAATTGGTATATTAACAAGAAATTAAAGAAAACAATAAAAAAAATAAAAATAAAAAACAGTATGAGTGACTAAGAACCCCACCACTACAAAAAAAAAAGCCACTTTTAAAAAATATAAACCAAACGTGCAACACATGAAATAATCAAAAAAAGAAAATTGAAAATTAGAATACCTTGCAAGAGAAATGAAATTGGGTTGAAGAAAGCTTTTCTTCTTCTTAGCCGTTAACGCATAGCCGACAACAATTTTCCGTTCCAAAAACGGCGTCGTACCGACCTCAGATTTCTCCATTACTTCTTCTTCTTCTTCACCGCTCGAAAATTCTCCGTTTAGTCTCATACCGAAAATACCCCTGATTCAAAGATCAAATCTTTTCCTCCCTCTTTTAATCGATTCACCTCAAAATCAATACGAAAACGAAATTTGATAATCGCAGAACAGAAAATTGAAATTGAGAAAGGTTAGTGAAATTGGTGTAATGTGTGTGAAATTTGTGATGAATTTATAGGGAAAAAAAAGAGGAATATTCAGTTTGTAGAAAGAAGAAAAAGAGTGGATTGGGTTTTTTCTAAAGAATGAATGAAATCACAAGTATATATAATATACATCATCACATGCAAAGTAATGTGATTTTTTGTACTTTCTCGATTTTGCCCTTTATTTTGTTTTTGTTTCATTGTATTATTTTTATTTCATCATTTACATGCAAAGTCAAAAAGCCTACTAACTTTTGAATCCACAATAAATAAATATTAGAGCTTTTTTTCTTATAAAAAATGTATAAAAAAATTAAATTATGATTCTAATAAAAGCTAATTTTGAAAGGTGTATTGAAAAAATTACAATCTTTATATGCACCGGCCAAAAAAAAACACTTGTTTGTACATACTATTCTTTGGGTAGGGATATAAAGGTAAAAAACGGACCTGGTATGTATTTTTTTGGTCAAAACAAAATTTTAAAGTTATATGTTAAAAAATTTTAAAAAGAGTTTAGTCAGTTATATAATTATATATGATTTAAATAACTAATTTTTGCAGTCGTGTGTAAGTGATATCTCAACTTATTTTTAAAAAAAAATGTTTTTACAGATATAAAATGGACATAAATTCTTTTGAAGTTATAGAAATGCAAAATTCTTGGAAAAATTTAATTGTACAATAAATTTCTAAATTAGAAGCTAATCCTTAATCATATTTTAGAGATCCAATAAGAAAATGTATTCATTTGAAGTAACCAAAATAACTTCACCAAATTTTCTACTTTCTTTTTTAGTAGAGGTGTGTCTAGGAAATAAAAATTAATTTTATTCCCAATGTGAATATTTATCAAGGAAAGTTTTCATTCTAAAAACTCATGAAATCTAATATACTTGTCAATTTGAATTTTTTCCAAAATCATGTCATTATTACATTAATATTATGGCATTATTATTTTAACGGAGGCATATTCTCAAGAAGTAGTTTTTATTCCGCTATCACCATTTTTATTCTTATTAATTGGAGAAGGTTTCAACCTTCTCATGAATAAAGTAGATGAGTTAGGAATTTTCTCTGGCTTCAAATTTGATAAAGGATAGAAAATATAGTACGCGGATGACACTGTTATCATTGGAGAAAAGAGGGGGGAAATATTATGAGTGTAAAGGCAAACTTGATATTATTTGAATTGATGTCGGGGCTGAAAGTCAATTTCCAGAAAAGCTGCATTTTCAGAGTTAACATTTGTCCAAACTGGCTTCGAGAAGCAGCGAGTGTCCTAAACTATAAAGTTAGATCCATTCTGTTTATACACTTGGGAATACCCATATGAGCCAATCTGAGATCGAAGAAGACGTGGCAAACGGTGTTCGATATCGTGAGTTTAAGATTGTCCAATTGGAAACACAAACACCTTTCACTCGGAGGTAGGGTGGTTGTGCTAAAATATGTCTTGTCAGCAATCCCAGTCTATTTCCTATCCATCTTCAAAGCTCCAACAAGTATCATCGCTAAACTCGAATCTTTATTCAAACATTTTCTTTGGGGAGGTGGTGAGGAAGTGAGAAAAATTAATCGGATCAAATGGGTTAAAATTTGTAGACCCTTAGAGGAGAGAGGGTGGGTACTAAGGATTTTTAGAGTTTTCAATTCATCTCTGTTAGGTAAGTGGCTGTGGAAAATCGAAAAGGTGAGATTGGTTTTATGGTACAAAATCTTGAATGAGAGATATAGTGGAAACGAATGAGTCCTTAGAACGAGTGATGCCCATAGTTTGTTGTGGTGGAGAGATATTTGTCATGTAAACTTATGAGGCCAAGCTTTGTCAAGTGTTTATTCACTGAATGAGAGTTATAAATTATTGCAAGCGGGCGATAGGATAGAGCCAAATAGGTTGTGGTATGTGGTCTGGCATAAATCAGTTCCCTCAAAAGTATCATGCCTAGTTTGGAGGCTATTTCACAATAGACTCCCAAGTAGAGACAATCTCATTAGAAGAAGCGTTACATACCAGGATAATTTTCAATGTGCGGGTGGTTGCGGGCAGGAAGATCGGCCTCTCATCTTTTCTTTGAGTGTCTTTCTTTTTCAAGTTTATGGGAGCATGTCATCAGGTGGTTTATAGTGCTTGCGGTGCTTCCTAAAGATAGATGGGATCATTTTGAGCAGTTTGGATTTCTCATGGATGGGGATAAAAGATCAGTTAAAGGTGATAGAGTCATTTGGTTTGCTTGCATTTGGAGCATATGGAAAGCTCGAAATACTAGCATATTCAAGAACAAGAATATTCTGATTGATCAATTATTTGAAGAAGTCCAAAGACTTTCCTGGTTATGGATGAGTAACAAAATACAAATCTTTAGTTTGCAATATGCCCTAATGGTTTTTGAATCCTAAGCTTATTCTGAATAGGTGTTGAATTCCTTCCTTCTCAACGTAGTTCTGTGGCAGTTGAGCCTTCACTTTAGGTTGGGATTTAGTCTATTTCTGTCAGTGCATCGTTGTTTTGATCAAGGCCCGTGTTTTCTCGCGAGTATTTCTTCTTTGGCAGTTCTGAATTTATTTTTGGCGTGTTAAATTATTCTTGATATAGCCTTCGGACCTGCTTCCATTACCAGCTAGGTTATGTCCTGTTGGCAGTGGCAGCTGGCGGCGTTTCGTCAGCTCCAGAGTCGATTCTTGGTAAAGCTCGGGTGTTCTAGTTTAGAGTGAAGTTGTCGTATTTGCGATCGTCTCCTATAATTTTACATTTGTTCTGGTCTAATTCTGGAGGTTAGTGTTGATTGACTCTCTTTAGATCAACACTCTGGGATTATCTTGTTCCGGCGAAGCTCAGTGTGCTCAGGTTATTCAGTGATGGCTGCATAAAGAAAGGAATGTATGTTGTAATACTCTCACTCCTAGAAAATAAGAAGACCACATGGAGAAAAAAAGAAAGGAACGTGTTTGAGTGCTATAAAAGTATTAATTCTTTTTGTTATAGAACTTGCATAAAAGAGGCTATAAGATGTTTGTATATACTAATCTAGATTTACCATGCTAGAATGTGATATAGTACATAAAATCCCAATTCTATAAATTGAGTTCTTTGGATAATTATTAATTATAATGTTGAATCTTTTATTTTCTTAAAGATGATTTTTATTGTTGATTCTTGCTAATTTTTAGTTGTTCACATTTTATTGATGATTTTTAAGTATACAATTTATAATATTAGTATCACCATTAGTTTAGTTATGTAAATGGATCAGCCACTAAATTACTAAAATAATTTCTTTTTATTTTGCGAGGGAAATTGATTTTGTCTCAGATTTGTGAAGGAAAAAATCCCTCAAAATTTGAGAGGGGATCTTATTCTTTCAGTAATTAGTGACAGAAACTTAAATGAAGAAAATATTTTTTTTGTTTGGATTTTAGGGATGAAATAAATTAATTAGTGACGAATTTATTCTGTATTAATTTATGAAGAAATGAAAATTACATCTCTAACATTTTGCGACATTGAAATTCAACACGGATTTGGGTACGTCACTAATTTTGTCACTAAATTAGTTTGTGACAGAAGTTTAGCACATTAGTGACGGAAAACTATCATCTCTAAATTTTTTTTAGTAATGTTGTGTGCAAAAGTCTATTAGTTTTGTGTATTAGTTTTCTTATAAATAGCATACTAGTCTCTCATCATTACACAATACAAATCCTAATTAGGGTGAGAGATGTTATTTGTTATTCTGTAACACTTGTAATCTTGTTTGAAAGAGAAAGTAAAGAATAACAGTTTATAATCAATTCATTGTGTTCTTCTTGCTTCCCTATTTCTTATCCTTGTGGGTTTCTTGTCGATTAAGAAACATGTTATACTATATTCTTGGTATCATTTTTTCATAATAAATTGGTGTGGTGAGCGTGAAGAAGATGTCGTCAACAAAGTATGAGATTGAAAAGTTCATCAGAGTGAATGATTTTGGTTTGTGGCGCTTGAAGATGAAAGTTCTATTGGTTCAGCAGGGTTGTTTAGAAGTGTTGAAGGGAGCCGCAACCATGGACGATGCATTAAAGTATAAAGAAAAATGGTTATGGTAGAGAAAGCCCACAATTCCATCTTATTAAGTCTTGGTGATAAGATTCCTCGACATGTTTCAAAGGAGACGACGACGTCGGGTATATGGGAGAAACTCTAAAGCTTGTACATGACCAGATTATTGGTCAATTGCCTCTATTTGAAGCAAGCTTTGTATTCATTCAAGATTAGTGAAGGCCAGGTACTATCTGAGCAGATAAATATGTTCAACAAGTTGATTTTTGATCTTGAAAATATTGATGTTAAGATCGAGGATGAAGATCAAGCGCTGTTACTGTTGTGTGTTTTGCCTAGAACACATGCGCACTTCAAATAAACTCTTTTGTATGGGAGGGAGTTGTTGACCTTTTAAGAAGTTTAATTAGCCTTGTACTCTGAGGATTTGAACGAATGAAATGAGCACATACCATCTTTGCCTGGTGAAAGTTTGTCGATTAAGGAGAGATTCACAGAGAAATATAACAAGTTCTACAAGAAGAAGGATAAAAGTCAACAGAAGTCTTATAATGGTAATGCATCTGGTGTTTTATGTTATCATTGTAAGAAAGAGGGTCATGCAAGAAAAGTGTTCCCTTAATGCATGAAAGATCATTAAAGTAAGGATAATGACAATGCAACTATTGTTCAAGATGATTTTGACTCATTTGATGTTCTTGTGGTTTCAAGCGGCGACTCAAGTAAATAGTGGATTATAGATTCAGGTTGTACTAGGCACATGACTCCAAACAAAGACTTGTTCGAGGAACTACGTGAGCGAGATGGTGGATGTGTATTACTTGGAAACAACAAAGCTTGCAAGGTTGTAGGTGTTCGATCTTTGAAATTTAATCTCCGTGATGAGTCAATAAGGTTGTTGACTGAAGTCAGATATGTACCTAATTTGAAGAGAAATTTGTTTTCTCTTGGTGAATTTGACAAGAAAGGATATGTTTTCAAAGGAGAGAAAATTATCCTAAGAGTCATGAAAGAGTCGAAGGAAGTATTTAGAGGCGTGAAGAAACCAGACTTGTATACACTTGAGGCTGAAGTTGTAACTGGTTCTGTAGATATTGTGACACTGAAAAACCCTCAATTCAAGCTGAGTATAGATTAGTATCCCAGTACTGAAGTTGAAAGAGCTTATATGAATATCATCACATATGCTAACATAGTAGGTTCTTTGATGTATGTTATGGTCTCTACTAGACTCGATATAGCATATGCAGTAAGTCTTGTAAGCAAGTATATGGAAAATCTTGGAAAGGCTCACTGGCAAGCATTGAAGTGGATTCTAAGGTACATAAATGGGTCTCTGAACAGAGTCCTAATTTTTGGCGGAGCCTGTGGTGAAGATAGTAAAATAATAATTGAAGGATATGTTGACTCTGATTATGCAGGTTGTATGGATTCTATAAAATCTATTTCTGGATATATGTTCATTATGTTTGGCACAATAATCAGTTTCAAAGTGACACTTCAGAAGGTTGTCGCCTTATCAACCACTTAAGTATAATATATTGCCCTCATTGGAGCTATGAAAGAAGCATTGTGGCTTGAAGATTTTGATAAGGAGTTGAAACATCAATGTCGAGTTATCATTGTTAAATGTGATAGTCAAAGTGTAATACACTTTTCGAAGAATTCAGCCTATCATAAGTGAACCAAGCACATCGATGTGTGATTGCATTTTATCAGAGGGGTAATCGAGCATGGAGAAGTCCAAGTATTGAAGATTTTGACAGATCACAATGTTGTTGATATGATCATCAAAACTTTGTCAAGTTGCAAGTTTTTCTGTTGTATGTAGTTGATAAAGTTGGGGTGTTCAAAATCAAATCAGCCCAATAGAAAACTGCAAAATCGAGCCGAGCCAAACCGAAACCAAAAACCTCCATTTGGTTTGGATGTATTTGGATCATTTTCTAACGGAACCGTGCGGTTTGGTTTGGTTTGCGGTTTGTATTTTACAAACCGAACAAAACCAAACAAAACCAAACAAAACCCCCATTATGTTATAAAATCTTACTAACCAATATATATTTCTTTAATTCTTTAGAGAAATCAACATTTATTATGTGTATATTTTATCATACTTTGTATGATATTTATTTTAATTTATAAATCATAAAAAATAAAATATTATTCATTTATAAATACTATTTCACAAAATATATTTTATCGTATTCTTTGTATAATATTTATTTAAGAATGCAATCTTGTCTATATCATTATTTATATTTAGATGAAATTATAATACACAATTTTATGTATCAAATTATAAACTTATTTTGACAATTATAATTTTTTTTATGGTAATGTATGAACAATTAAACACAAAATTATATTTTCCTCTATATGTGTATGTATGGCTTAACAATTTTTTTTGTAAAAAATCGAACCAACCGAACCAATCCAAACCGCATTAGTTTGATTTGGTTTGATTCAGATTTATTTTTAAAAGTCAACCGAATCAAACCAAACTGTATGTTTTTTTCTCTTGTGGTTCGAGTGATTTTTTGCTTCAAAGCCGCCCAAACTGCACCGCGAACACCCCTATAAAGCTTCATGAAGAAAGCTAGTTTATTCCCTTGATGTTATAGAGTTTGTTCCAAGGTGGAGATTTGTGAGATATTGGATCGAACTCTAGTATGATCAAAGGGGTAGCTTCTGGTCCGACAAGAATTAAACATGAGGTCGAAGCTTGTCCGTACGCTGCTATCAAAATAGTGTGTGTTATAGTCGAAATTGTTCTAACATTCATTAGTCGATATTTGTTAGGTTTGTTAGCATGTCGAATTGGGCATGTTGGTTATGCTCAATTGTTTAAGTTAGCCTCTTCTTTAAGTTAGTTTGTAATGGGTATCTGTGTAAAATCTCATTAGTTTAGTATGTTAGTGTTCTTATAAATAGCATACTAGTCTCTCATCATTGTACAATGCAAATCCTAATTAGAGTGAAAGAGGTTATTTGTTATTATGTAACACTTGTAATCTTGTTTCAAAGAGAAAGTAAAGAATAGCAGTGTATAACCAAGTCATTTTCTTCTTGCTTCTCTCTTTTCTACCCTTGTGAGTTTCTTGTCGATTAAAAAACTTATTATACTCTGTTTTTGATATCATTTTTTATAATAGTTTGTCTATAAGACTTTATAGATTTTTTTTAATAGTCTGAATATGACATGTTTAATTAAATAGACTTTTAAAAAGTTTAAAGTCTAATATTTTTATTAAATAAGCTATGTTATGCCGTATTTTAAATAAAGTAGACTAAATGTCTATGTAGGTTGACCTAGATTATTCTCATTTCTACGAATTATCATAGTGTATAGTATATAAAGAAGGAAAATTGTTAAATTACCC